ATGTTAATTTCTCAACATGAGAACTTCTGAAACAATCAATATAAATTTACACCCCAAACTTGCTTGAGATGGGGCTTTCTTTTTTTTTCCCACCCAGGTTCTGGTCTGTGGCAGATAACCTTGTTGTCCTTCCTTACACTAGAAGGTCAACTTTTTCTAAGCTAACTTTTTTTTTTTTCCTACTGGGGATGCAGTCCTTAGAGGGTCTTGGTTTATGTGCAGGGTCTCAGTTCCAACTTCCCATTCCTCATGAAAGACCATTTCCAGGGTTTGCTGGCACTGAAATCCAAGCCCACAGTTTCCCCAGACTAGATACAGTGTTGACTCACACACTACCACTATGGTTACCAGGTCATTATTTATTTAGGGTGAGAGGTGAAGGACACCCAATGTCCAGGGACATCTGTTAGCTTAAAAAAACATGTTTCATATATTTATCCAGCAAATAGTTGATGCTCATTAAATATCTGAATGAATCACTTACAACTAAGAAGTTAAGTGGTGTTTACAATACTAATAGAGCCTATATAATATTTAGATTTTAAATCATTTAAATTTAATTTTCAAGTAGGTAATATATGTACATGGTTCCAAATATAGAAGTCATTAAAGGGTTTATAGGAAAATACTTTTATTCTGTGCTTGTATGCGAGCTCCACACTTCCTCCCTTAGGCAATCAACATTCACTTTTGTGTATCTTTCATTTACTAGCAAATATGTATAGATATATTCATGGCAGCACAGTATATATACTGTTCTTCACTTTACTCCTTTCACTTAACAATATATCTTAGAGATTTTTTTCATATCAGAACAAAAAGAAAATATAGCTTATTTTGAAGCCAGTCAGAAAGACCTTCGAATAATGTCAACCCTTTTACTATTCAGAAATGAAGTTTACACATATCAAATTAAATGGACACATTCCCACATCGGTAAAGGCATTTACCCCTAATGGTTAACTATGGATGACAGAATGACTCAGCTACATTCTCAAGGGCATATTTAGTCTGGTGTAACTGTTTCCACAGTTTCTGGATGGAGAAATGAAAGGAAAACACAACACATGCCACAGAGAAGGCATTAAAAAATGTCTACTGAATGAAAGAAGGATTGAGGGGATGGAAATAAGAGCTAATAATCTGCTTTCTTTTAAGGCATGCCACACATTTCCTAAACTTGTGTATGTATAAACTAAAGAGTAGTTTTTTAAAAAGGTTTTTGTTAATTATTTTGAATTAGAGGACAACTGTTTTACAATATTGTGTTGGTTTCTGCCCTATTTCAACATAAATCAGCTATAGGTATATGTATGTCCCTTCCCACCTGAGCCTCCCTCCCACCTCCCACCCCATCCCACCCCTCTAGGTAGCCACAGAGCATCGGATTTGAGCTCCCTGCATCTGATTCAATCTCTCACTTTAAATTTTTGATCCAATGAAACTTGTTTAAGAAGAGAGAAACTAAAACACATTTTCCACATATGAGGAGTTTAGAAGGACTAGGATATTATTCCAAGGACAGTTTTGTTTCCAGCTGAGGATTAACAGAGCATTTAACGGCACTTCCCTGTAGCTCAGAGGGTAAAGAATCTGCCTGCAATGCAGAAGAGCTGGGTTCAACCTCTGGGTCAGGAAGTTCCTCTGGAGAAGGGAATGACAATCTATTCCAGTGTTCTTGCCTGGAGAATCCCATGGACAGAGGAGCCTGGCAGGCTACAGTCCATTGGGCTGCAACGAGTTGGACACGACTGAGAGACTAACACTAATGATATGAGCATTTAACAATACAATCAATCTCCAATAAAATTAACACAATATCTTTTTCTTCTTAGATGAAGTGTTTCCTTCCTTCTGCTCCTGATAAGCAGATCTTGCGTTCTAAGCAGTTCTGTTTTGCTTCACTAGGAAGCTGAGTGGTCCCTTCACACCTGCACTTTGAGTTGTCAGTTACCATGGTCCCCAGACCCTAATGCAGCCCTTGAATGGCTCACTGAAAGCTGATGAACCTCAAGTATATTCATAACAGTTCCAATGAAGTCCCACGAATCCACTGACACTGCTTATGCAACACACTTTTAAAAGAATTTTAGTGTGTGGAACTCCCTCCTTTTCAAAGGAGGTTGCATTCGTGGAGTTGTCTTTTTAAGCAGAGCGGTGCACTCTGGACATTATGGCACATATTTTGAAATAAAAGTCAGTTTGCTTCTTGAAGCCAGGCATCAGGAATAAGGCACAGCTCCGAATTTTTTTTGCTGAAGGCCTCACAACTACTGTTGGAGTGTCTGACGTAATGCCTGGTTCAAACAGGTAAGGAGAAAGCTGAGAAAAATTTTTTCCTAGATTGAAAATCAGAGTTCAGAGTAGCTAGGATTTGGTGATGTCAGAGGAGCTATATGACAGACTTATATGAACATGTTTGCAGAGTGAGAGATGTGAGCACTGTGGAAAGTGGGTGGGGAAGGCATTTGTTTTTCTCTCCTTTCCTGATAAATTTAGAGATAATGGGTTTGAATTTCTGGCTCCGTTAGGTAAGTTTACTAACTCTTTGAGTTTTGATGTCCTCATTTATAAATTGGAGAAAACAATTTCAGAGGGCTGTTTATAGAAAGGAGCCTTGAGATTTCTTGAATACTATGATGGGCACACCTTCCAAAGGTATTTGGTAACATAAAATGTACATGTATGGATACGTGTGTGTGTGTGTGTGTATATATGCAACTTAACTATTTTAAGTACAGAAAAATAATATAATGGCTAATAAAACAAGTTTTGGGCTATTACAAGTAACGCTGCAGTACATGTTCTTAATTATGTTTCATTATACACATGTTGGGGAGTATTTCCAGGGAATATACTAGATGTGAAATTGCCAGGTTGTAGGGTATGTGTACCGGTAGCTTCAACTTCACTGGATTTTTGTCAAATTCACCTCCAAAGTGATGCAATAGTTGATGTTCCCAATAACAGTATATGAGAGTTCTTGTTCCTCCACATCCCAGCTCTATTCTTTGCACATGTTGTGTGCATGCTATGTGTATGCTAAGTCGCTTTAGTTGTGTTTGACTCTTTGTGACCCCATGGACTGTAGCCCACCAGGCTCCTCTGTCCATGGGGTTCTCCAGGCAAGGATACTGGAGTGGGTTGCCATATCTTCCTCCAGGGGATCTTCCCGACCCAGGGATCAAAACTGCATCTCTTGTGGCTCCTGCATTGCAGGCAGGTTCTTTACTGCTGAGCCACTGGGGAAGCCCTGGTGCACATATTTACATGTTGACAATCTGTGTGAACCAGTCAAGTTGCTCAGTCATGTCTGACTCTTTGCGATCCCATGGACTGTAGCCTACCAGGCTCCTCCATCCATGGAATTTTCCAGGCAAGAGTACTGGAGTAGGTTGCCATTTCCTTCTCCAGGGAATCTTCCCAACCCAGGGATCAAACCCAGAAGTTATATCTAAATATTTTAATCTGCATCCCCTAATTATTGTTGGGAGACATTTCTCCAAGGGATTCTCATTTTTCTGTACATCGTGTGACCAGAGGTAAAGATAGCTTTTATGCTAGACTATCTTTCAAAAGATGTTAATATAGTGAATGACCTTTGTCAACGGAGGTACTGCTTCCTTCTAGAATAGAAGGCAGGTTTGTGTATTGTCCAGTATAAGAAAGACATGTGTTCTCCAGGGTAAAGGTTGGGCAGGTCTGCTGGCAGCTTATTATAAAAGACTGGAGTTCCCTAAGCTTAGGATTTCTAAGCTATGACACTATGTGTCCAAGATCTGCTGGGGCTTCTCTTTGTAGCTCCCATGGGATTCAAGGGGAAATGACACAAACATGAACCTCATGCTGCTTACTGTGCTGTGAACAATAGTCTTTTTGTCTCTGATCCATGAGTTTTGTGTCTTTTGCCAGCATCCATAAAACTGCATCAGGCTAACTGGTAAGAGTTCAAGTTGTGTATAATCTCAGACTATTCATAGTTCTTGGAAGTTATTGGTGAGGGTGAGTATCTCGTTTATTGGTTATTTGGCTCTTCTCATTTCTGAGCTATCTGTTTTTTGGGGTCTATTTTTTCCATTTGATTGTTTCTTATTGACTGGGAGATGTTCCTGATATATTCTAGTTTAAATATTGATGGCTGTCTTTTATCCAACTGTGTGTGTATTTGTGTGTGTGTGTGTGTGTGTGTGTGCACATGCACGCGCACGCTCAGTCACATCCAACTCTTTGTGACCCTACAGACTGTAGCCCGCCAGGTTCCTCTGTTCATGAGATTCTCCAGGCAAGAATACTGGAGTGGGTTCCCATTCCCTCCTCTAGATGATCTTCCCGACCCAGGGATCAAACCCACATTTCCTGCATTGCAGGAGGATTCTTTACCCACTGACCCACCTGGGAAGCCCTTATTCAACCATGTTCATATCCAAATAGAATAAAAGTAAAAACACTTTTTCTAGTACGTCACAGTTTTCAAAGTACTTTATTATCTCTTACCTCACTGAAATTACCCAGTAGCCCCTTAAGAGCCATATTACTTCCATTTTACAGATTATCCTCTATTTTACAGATTAAGTGAAAATTACTTCACGAGGCTAATCAGTTACTAGAAGAAATAAATTTAAAAATCAAGTCTATTTTTCTTCACTTCAATCACATCAAGAAAGTATTTCTTACAGGAGAGATTCTAGCTCCTAAGTAACAATGATTAGAATCTCAGTTGTCACTGATAATAGCAGGAATGAAATAATGAAGTTTCAAAAGGGGATTGGAGGAACCTTCATTTCTGTTGACTGTGTAGAAATGCTCAATTCACTATGAATGTGTCCATAAGAATTTTAACATACAATCAACTTTAGAGGTTATTAATCTGTTTTTTAAACATAAAGTTATTGTAGCTCTGCTAGTGGTTGGCATTTTTCCAAGCACTATGTAGGGTTGGACAAAGCTGAGATAAGCAAATAAAGTCAAATATAATTAGTAATAATTTAAAAACATCTTACCATAATGTAGAGCTGTTTGACCTTCATTGTCCTATAAAAGAAACAAAGAATCTAAGTTATTGCAAAAGTATGAAAGTATATAAGCTATAGCAAATATCTGATATACCAAAGTTCCACAGGTTTACCGGCTACAGGAAAAGAAGTCAGTTCTTTGAGCCTCACAGTAACCTCTGACCAAACTCTCCATCTCGGAGAAAAGGAGAAGGTTGAATGGTAACTTGTGCACTGCAGCAGCCACAGAGTGACAGGATGACTAGATCTGCAGATATTAAACCAAAGGGAATCCTTTAAAATGTGACAGTTTGATTACCCAATTAGTGGCAGAAAAACGGCCATTTATCATGGCCAGTATTATAATTTTTTTTTTTAAAGTACATTCCCAAAATCTATCTAAGAAGTCTATGATTTATAGTAAGGATTAGTAGCTTTTTAAACCCATTTTCAAAGATTCAGATTCCAGGCTTATAACATAAAGTTTCCTAATCATATCAAATATCATACAGAAATGTGATTTCAAGACACACAAATTCTCTACAAGTTGTTAAGTCAAAAATTCCCACACACACTCAGGAAAATCCAACTGTTCAGTTAAATTTTTATTCCTTTAAAATAAAAATATTTTAACTATATAAACTAATTATCGATGAGTATTTTTTCACGATGCTATTTCTTTTTAATTCAGTTTTTATTTTACATGGGAGTACAGTTGTTTACAATGTTAGTTTCAGCTGTACAGCAAAGTGATTCAGTTACACATATGTCTATTTTTCAGATTCTTTTCCCATAGGTTATTATTGAACATTGAGCAGTTCTCTGTAGACACAACAGGTCCTTGTTGGTTATCTGTTTTATATATAGTAGGATGTATATGTTAATCCCCAAACTCCTACTTGATCCCTCCTCCAATCTCTTCTCTGTGGTAACCATTAAGTTTGTTTTCAAAGTCTGAGTCTGTTCTGTTTTATAAATAAACTCATTTGTATAAGTTTTCTAGATTCCACATATAAGTGATATCATATGATTTTTGTCTCTGACTTCATCTAGTATGATAATATCTAGGTCCATCCACGCTGCTGCAAATGGCATTATTTCATTCTTTTTTGTCTCAGTAATATTCCACTGTACATATATATCACATCTTCTTTATCCATTCCTCTGTCAATGGACATTTAATTTGCTTCCATGTCTTAGCTATTGTGAGTAGTACTGCAATGAACATTGGGGTGCATGTATCTTTTTGAATTGTGGTTTTCTCTGGATATATGGTCAGGAGTGGAACTGCTAGATCATATGGTTGCTCCCTTTTTAGTATTGAAAGGAACCTCCATGCTCTTCTCGATATTGTGTGCTCAGTTATGTCTGACTTAGGGGCCCCATGGTTGTAGCCTGCCAGGCTCCTCTGTCCACCACTTCCTACTCCAGGGGATCTTCTTGACCCAGGGATTGAACCCATGTCTCTTGTGTTTCCTGCACTGGCAGGCAGCCTCTCTACCACCAGGGCCACCTAGGAAGCTTCGTTCTCCAAATAGTAGTTGTATCAATGTACATTCTCACCAACAGTGTAGGAATTTTCTCTTTTCCTCAGGATCCTCTCTAGCATTTATTATTTGTAGATTTTTTTGATGGTGGCCATTCTGACCGGTGGGCTTCCCAGGTGGCTCAGTGGTAAAGAATCAGCCTGCCAATTCAGGAGACGCAGGAGACACAGGTTCAATCCCTGGTCAGGAAGATCTCTTGGAGGAGGAAACAGCAACTCACTCCAGTATTCCTGCTTGGAGAATCCTATGAATAGACGAGCCTGGTGGATTACAATCCATAGAGTCACAGAATTGGACATAACTGAGCACACACATATGCATTCTGACCTGTATGAGGTGATACCTCTCTAGTTTTGATTTTCTCTAATAATTAGCAACGTTCAGTATTTCTTCACATGTTTTTAGCCATCCATAGCTCTTTCTTAGAGAAATGTCTATTTAGATCATTTGCCCATTTTTTGATTGGTTGTTTTTGGTTTTGGTTTTGATACTGAGTTGCATGAACTGCTTGTATATTTTGGAGATTGATCCTTTGTAAGTTGCTTCATTTACAAATATTTTCTCCCATCCTGTGGGTTGTCTTTTTTGTTTTCTTTATGGTTTCCTTTCCTGTGCAGAAGCTTTTGAGTTTAATTAGGTCCCATTTGTTTATTTTTGCTTTTATTTTCATTACTCTGGGAGGTGGACCTATAAAGGTATTGCTGTGATTTATGTCAAAGAGTGTTCTTCCTATGTTTTCTTCTAAGAGTTTTACAGTATCCGGTCTTATATTTAGGTCTTTAATCCATTGTGAGTTTATTTTTGTGTATGGTGTTAGAGAATATTCTAATTTAATTGTTTTACATGTAGCTTTCCAGTTTCCCCAGCATCATTTATTGAAGAGAATGTGTCTTTGCTGTTGTATAGTCTTGCCTCCTTTGTCATAGATTGACCATACCTGTGTGGGTTTACTTCTGAACTTTGTATCCTATTCCACTGATCTATGTTTGTTTTTGTGCCAATATTATACTGTCTTGATGACTGTAGCTTTGTAGTATAAAGTCAGGGAGCCTGATTCTTCCAGTTCCATTTTCCTTTCTCAGAATTGCTTTGGCTATTCGGGGCCTTTGTGTTTCCATGCAAATTAAAAAAACTTTGTTCTAAAAATTTTGTGAAATATGCCATTGAAAATTTGATAGGGATTGCACTGAATCTGTACATTGCCTTGAGTAGTATAATCATTATGACTATATTGATTCTTCCAATCCAAGAACATGGTATATCTTTCCATCTGAGCAGTGCTATTTCTTAAGCTGAGGGCACATGATCACATTACATGAGCAACACATAATCAGGATGATATACAGGTGGAAAGTAGGATTTAGATTAATTTGATAGGCATTTAGTATGTGGATGGCCATTCTTGAGCCCCTGGTAATTAAGAATAAATGATTAACCATCATTGTAAATGAGACAGAGTGGTATTATGATTTAAATCAACTACTCTTAGACAAACCATATCTACCTTTCCCATTTCCTAAAAACTGAATATGGGGGTTGGTTCCCAGAAGATTTTGGGTGTGGTTCTATTTAATCTCCTAAGAAGAAAGGCAAAAGCTGCCACAGAGAGCTTATTTTCTGGTTCAGATGGGTAGTTAGAAAAAAGTAATTCCTTAACACCTAGAGAGGTTCAGCAGGGATAACAGCTGATGGGAAGAAGACAACTTTGAGGCAATATAGTTTGATTAAACTGTTTTCTCGCCAGAAATTGGAGTTCTCACTGGATTTGGCAGTAACATGTGGGTGGATAGGTTGGAGGAGATATGAAAGATGTAATTTTTAGGAACCTTATGAGTAAGGTAGATTCAGCTGAGGTGCAGCACTGCTTATATTTGGGATGTTCATTATGTATCATAAGGATAATAAACTCTAAGAGGAGTAAAAGGTGGACAGCAGTACCATGAAGTCAGAAGAATGAGATTATTTTTGCCTACTTTCTTTCTTGTATTTTTCAATATACAAGAAATATACAATATTTCAATATACAATACAAAATTTCAATATACAATACACAAGCAAAGCCCCTACTTTGCTCCTAGTTCCTCTTTGCCTTGCCCTGTCCTTGAGATTAATGACAGGTAGGGGAAGAGAGCTAAGGCAGCTACAGTAAACAAGATCCAAGAGATGATAATGAGGGGTGGCACGACAGTGTGAAGTTGTGTTCCTGAGTATCCGGATTCACCTGGCTACAGCCAAGGGCAATTTTGAAAGAACTGCATTGCCCACTATGGCTTTAAACTTGTATCTGCTTTGCTGGTTTCCGAAGTTAACCAGTAAAAATGTGTGTGTGTGTTTGTGTACACACACCTGATGGGTTTATACATTCACATTTACAGTTTAAATGCTTGCCAACAGAAAACAATTTCAGAAAGGGTTTAATCTGTTGAAACTTCCAGACTCTAACCTATGCATCCATCATGGAAGGTTATATGTTCTACAATTATCCATTTTTTAAAAGTGTAACTTTCTTGCTATTTGTGTGTAAGTTCCTTGTTTAGCTACTGTGTTCATATAAATATATATGCAGAGTTCAATTTCATTCAATTTGTAATTGGTTATCTTCATAAGAGAGGTAGAAGCATAATTAATTTCTTTTAATCACTTTTACCAATGAGTACTAAATCTATATTTCCACTTCAATCTCTAACTAATGAATTAATTTAAAATGTTTATTGAGCTCCTACTATGATCCAGGCATTGTTCCAGGTATTGGGAGCACAGAGGTGAGCAAGAGACAGAAGGTCCCTCATGTTATAACTCTTACATTCTAGTGGTAGGGGAAGTAATAAGCAAATAAATCTTTTCTGTAATAGACAGTAATAAGTGCCCCCCCCAAAAAAAAAGCATAATAAAGTGTCTAGATGATGTGAGATGCTATTTTAGATCAAAAGAACAAGGAAGGGCTCTTTGAGAGGGTATGTACACACAGAGAACTGGGGAAGATTCTAGGGTGGTCATGCAACCTCCTGAGCTGAGCACATCATAGCAACCCATTATCCTCCTGGTCTAGAAGTAAGCATGTCACTCAAGCCAAACCAATTCGAGTCTTCTCTCAGGATTTTCAAAATAGAGCAAGGAGATAGAAGCATGTGTACTGAGAAAGTCTTTTTCTTCCTGGTCAAAAGAAAGTGGTGTAGTGAATAAAGACAGATACAAAAGGGTAAATATTGTATTATTCCAGTTGTATGAACTACTTAGGAGTAGTAAAATTCAGACAGACAGAAATAGAACAGTGGTTACCAGGGGCTGCAGAGAGAGAGGAATGAGGAGTTATTGTCTAGTGGATACAGAGTTTCAGCAGGGGGGGCTACCGTCTATGGGGTCGCACAGAATCTGACACGACTGAAGCGACTTAGCAACAGCAGCAGATGAAAACATTCTGCAGATGGATAGTAGTGACAGTTGCACAATGTGAATGTACTTATACCACTGACTTTACACTTAAAAATGCTTA